GCCCGTCTCTGACGTCCCAGCCTCCTGCCTCCTATCACTCTCTGGCTCAGGAACATGGGCACCCCTGGCGAGGATTGGTGAGAAGGTCCCAGCCCTGCCTGGGGTACGAGAAAGGAATGCGTGTGTGGTTCAGAGGGCTTCCTGGATGAGGCACCCCTGCTGGATCCTGTTGCTTGGCCTTGTTCCCTGCCCCCGTAGGGCAGAGGGAAGTGTCCGATGGCCTCCACTTAGCCCCTCCCCTTTTATACTGCCATGGTGTCCTGGCCTTATGGGATGGGGCAGGGAAGGGGTCGGCCTTGAGGTATTAGGGACTTTCTGGTGGTTAGTTCTGTGAGAGTGAGAGGCAGGCTGAGGAGAGGGCTGTGCACGGCCCGTGTTCAAATCACAGCTGTCCGTCTCATTAGCTGTGTGACCGTGACAGTGACTGCGTCTGTCTGTAGCTCATTTCCCACACCTAGGAAATGGGATCAGTCGGCCTACGGGCAAGCGTGCAGAGCCAAGGACGGCCTCTCACCGGGCCTGGGGCCCTTTGTTATTTGGACCGGGCTGGTGATCACAAGGCCCCCAGAGATCTCTGCACAGTTCCCAGTGTTGGGTTTTCAGGGGAGTGCGAGACCACCCCCAGCTGTTTAATTTAAACTCAGGTCCCCATGCTTGCACAGCGCGGGCTCCTGCCCACGGGACCATGGCCTCAGTCCAGCCGCCCGAGCTTCTGGGGGAGCTATGACAGAGGGTTCCCAGTCTCCAGCTGGAAGGAAGACGTGGGTCTACGGAGGAGCCTTGAACCCTGTGCTGGTGCCGTGTGTCTGGGTCTAGCCTTGGAACTGGCTCAGGGTGGAGCTGGCCTGTTGAAGCGGCTGCTGCTGCTGGTGGTTCCTGACCCTCTCAGTGGGCCAGAGGGAAGCTTTGCTCCCAGATGTAGTCTTGTATTCCTCTCCTTAGCTCTTCCAGGGACCGAATAAGAGCCCTGGGTGGGCTGAATCCTGGTGCCCGCTGCACCCTATTGCCCACGTCCATGCCCGGCCACTGTTGCCCGATTGACAAATAAAAATGTTTACCAGGCCTGGCTTCCCATGGGCTCGGGGGTGGGGTGGTGGCTCTTGGGACAGCTCCTCAGCCTGGCTTTGTTCTTGGGGAGACAGGTCATGTCTGGGACCAGAGGAGGCAGGAGCATGTGTGGGAGTGTGCACATGCGTACTCTCACACCGCACACATGTGTCCTGGCGGCCCACAGCCCGGCTTTGCCTCGAGGAGTGTCTCTGGAGACTTGTCTCAGCCATTGGTGTCTGAGGTTTCCCAGTCCAGCAGTCCCAATCCACTGGTGGTTGGCACTGAGACAGAGGGCCAGCCAGGACTGCAGTTTGCGTGCTTGTGGCATTTGGTTTTGTCCCCTAGAGTGGCAGTGGAGAAGCCTGGGCCCAGGAGCTGTGGTTTGAATCCCAGTCCTTCTGGCAAGCACCTCCAGCTGTGTGATCTTAGGCGCGCTGCTGTGCCTGTCTGGGCTCAGCTCTGCACCTGTGAGGAAATGTTTGACTGTGTGTGCAGGTACAGGTACTGCGGAGCTGGGCGCTGCTCAGGGATGGGCCCTGCCTGTTCTGCTGCCCACAGCTTAGGGCCGGGCACATGCAACTGGTGCTTAGTCAGCGCTTCCTGTGGATCTGAGAATGGCCTGCCTAGCTAGAGAAGAAGAGGCAAATGAGGGAGCTGCATGCTGACTGTGGGAGACGGCACTCTCCTAGACAGCAGTTTGTAGTATGCATACTGCTGTAGGCCCTTAGGAAACCTGGGCTCATGCCTAGGACCCCTGGCTAGATAGGTGCTTGTGGACAGCTGCTTGGGTGCAGTCCCAAGTCCCTAGGCCTTTTCCTTTCTGACTCTGGGCCTGAGGGAGGCAGGGCTGGAGGAGTGTCCAGGGCCTCACAGCAGTAGGCACTGAGCAGGTTCCCTGGGATCCTGCACTTTAGTCACTGAGGGCTTCGGTCCCTCCTGGACACTTTTCTTTGAAGCTTCTACTGGCAGCTGGCTTTTTGCCCTTTGTGACCTCTCCGACAGCCTGCCCACCCTGTGTCCTCTACCCTGTTTCCTCAAAGTGAGGCTTTCCTAAAGGGGGTCACCAGTTCCTGGTGCAAGATGGCTCTTCTATGTGAGGCTTCTACTGCAATAGGGCGGCTGCCTCCAGGTGGAGTCTGTGTGTGCTTGCTCTGTTTTTATTTCTCCTCTTTTTTAAATAATGTATTTATTTTTATTTTGGTTTTGCTTTGATATATGTCTGTGTGAGGGTGTCGGATCCCCTGGAACTGGAGTCACAGACAGTTGTGAGTTTCCATGCGGGTTCTGAGAATAGAACCTTGGTCTTCAGGAAGAGCAATCTTAACCACTGAGCCATCTCTCCAACCCCTTACTTTTCCTCTTGTGGGTTGGTAAGGTCAGCCAGTGTATTAGACAGGATTCTCAAGACCCCTAGAGCAGTGGTTCTCACTATGTCGGTTGTGACCTCTTAGGGTTGAATGACCCTTTCACTGGGGTTGCATATCAGATATGAATATCAGCTATTTGCATCATGACTCATAGCAGGAGCAAAATTACAGTTATGAAGTAGCAATGAAAATAATTTTATGGTTAGGGGTCACCACAACATGAGGAACTGTATTAAAGGGTCGTAGAATTGGGAAGGTTGAGAACCACTGCTCTAGAGGAACAGAACTTACTGACTGAAAAAAATGTAGATGGGATTTATTAGGATGTATAGAAATATAAAATGTATTAGAATACATTGTTTATATGGGATATATGTATGGACGGGGACATACACACACACACACACACACACACACACACACACACACACACACACACGGGATTTATTAGCATGACTTACATGTAGTCCAACAATGCTGTCTACTGATGGAAAGTTCAAGAATCCAGTAGTTGCTTAGTCCACGAGGCTGGATGTCTCAGCTGGTCCTCAGTATACTCTGGAACCCTGAAGAAGTCGGCTCTAATGCCAGTGGAGGAAAGGACCAGAGAGCAAGCAGGCACAGAGCACAAGCTTCCTTCTCCCATGTCCTTTACATAGGCTGCCACCAGAAGGTGTGACCCAGATTAGAGGTGGCTCTTCCCACCTTAAAAGATCCAGATCAGAGGAGGACCTTCCCACTTCAGATTGTTTAATTAGGACAAGTCCCTTGTAGGTGTGCCCAGATGCTTGGCTTTAGCTGAATCCAGATGTAGTCAAGTTGACAAGCAAGAGTATTGTCATAGCCTCTGCCACAAGGCACTAGCTTGAGCTGCCACATCACAAGTGTGTCCGAGAAACCCTTTGGGAATACACGGTTGTGTTGACGGGTGTAGAGGGGTCTGTGGTGAGCACAGCCAGCCTGGAGTCCACCTGTAGTAAAGGCTGCCTTGTCCCTCGCTGACTATGCTTTCTGTCCTATGAGGTAGGGCTTGCATGCTAAGTGGGTCAGGCGCTGGTACATACCTGTAATACCAGTGGAAAAGGAGACCGAGGCAGAAGGATGGCAGGTTCAAGGCCTGCTTAGGCTACAGAATGAGTTCAAGGCCAGCGTGGGTGTCTTAGTGAGATCCTGTCTCAAGAGAAGAAAGAGACATGGGACTATAGTCCCACAAAAGAGCGTTTGCCTAGCATATGTGAGGTTCCGGGTTCAACTCCTTGTATCAGAGAAAACTCTGTGTCTGTGGGTCGCTTTAAAAACACATCTCAAGCTAGGCGTGGTGTTTAATCCTAACACTTGAGTGGTAGAGGCAGGTAGATCTCTGAGTTTGAGGCCAGCCTGGGCTACAAAGCGAGCTCCAGGCCAGCTAGGGCTACATAGTGAGGCCCTGTCTCAAACAGAAACAAACCTACAAGAAAGACACACCTGGACTGGAGGGATGGCTAGTGGTTAAGAGGACTTGGGGCTCTTACAGATGACCTGGGTCCAGTCCCATAGCCCACGCTAAGTGGCTCACAACTGCCTGTAACTCCAGCTCCAGGGCATCTGATGCCTTCTTCTGGCCTCTGCATACATGTAGCATACACGCACTCTCCCACAAGCATAATTAAAAATAAAAATAAGCCGGGCAGTGGTGGCACATGGCTTTAATCCCAGCACTCGGGAGGTGGGTGGGTCTCTTGAGTTTGAGGCCAGCCTGCTCTACAGAGCAAGTTCCAGGACAGGCAGAGTTACACAGAGAAACCCTGTCTCAAAACAAACAAACAAACAAACAGAACGAAACAAAACAAAAACAAAAAATCTAACTAAATAAATAAAAAGAAAGAAAACACGCTGTCTTGTGGATACTCAGCACAGTCAGGTACAGGGGTTGCCTGGGTTGAAGCTGGCCGTGAGGAAGAACCTGAGGCCCTTGCTCTCCCCAAGCCATATGGATCCTGACGCTGTCCTTAAATCCCAGGCACCCAGAGAGTGTTGTTCACACAGGGACCCAGGGAATAGAGCAGAGGTTAAACCAGATCCTACGCCATGCTCGTCTGATCTGGCAGTAGCTCTCCTGAAGCTCAGCGAACGAAGAAAGGCTGAGCGACAAGCTCTGTGGGATCCCTAGAGATCCACTTAGAAAAAGAGACGTATGCAGCCAACTCTCGCACCTCGCACAGTATGCTGGGAAGTCGGTCACCAAACTGGAAGTGGCTTAAACAGGCTCTGGGTGGCAGTGTGCTGTGCCAGTCTCCAGGGTGACAAAGGTGCGGTGGGTCTGTGCCGTCCACCACAGTGCTCACAGGCCACGCGTGTCTGTGGCCCTTAGAAACTGACTGGTGTGACTGAGGGGCTGGGAATTTACTTAGACAGGGTCTTGTTATATAGTCCAGATGCCCTCAAGCTCACAGTCTTCCTGTCTCAGCCTCCATAAGTCCATTTCTAATGACTTTGAATTCACACATGCTCACACATGAACCTGGCCCCGCCTTCCCTCATGCCAGCCCTTCCCTAGTTTGGCCCACAGACATCAAACGCTTTTGGTCTGCTTTGTCTCCACAGGTCTGAGAACCTGGAAGGTCCTGTTAGCCCATCCTAGACGACACCCTGAAGACAGCAGTGACCAACACCCAGTGGCTGGAGCCGGTGCCATGTGCCCATGGAGCCGCAGGCTCTGGGTGCCTCTGCCCAGCCCTGCCTGCTAGCCTCAGAGAGGCCACACACAATAGTGTCAGGAGACAGATGTGTCTCGGGCCGTGGGGCTCCTGAGCAGGCTGCTGGAGCAGGCCGCTGGGGAAGAAGATGCCAGCCAAAGGACGCTACTTCCTAAATGAGGGTGAGGAAGGCCCCAACCAGGCAAAGCTCTATGAGAAGTATCGCCTCACCAGCCAGCACGGGCCGCTGTTGCTCTTGCTCCTCCTGGTGGCTGTGGCCACCTGCATTGCACTCGTCATCGTCACCTTCAGCCATGAGGTAAGGCCCTGGGCTAGGGTGCTTTGGCCTTCCTGCTCTGATAGGAAAGCGTTAGCAGGGTGGTGCCTGCCCGAAGCTTCATTTTCTTCCTTTGTGACCTGCTGGGTGGGTGGAAAACAAATCAGTTTGAATTTGATCTTGAAGTCTGGTTGATTTTTAGCTATTATAATTAATTGTATGAAATCACCCCCAGTTTGTCCACCCCACCCCCCACCCCCGCCATGAAATTCAGTCTGTTACAGATCTGAGTCAAGGCTTGTGTGTTACTTCCTTCCCTGGTCTGACCATGGCAGACATCACCAATCAATCCCTGTGTTCCTTTCTGAATCTGGCTACGATCTCAGATTTCTTTTTCTCCTCCTCATCTTCCTTCTCCTTCCCTCGCTTCTTCCTTTCCCCCTTCTTCTTGTCCCTTGCAATCCTCTTCCTTTTCTTTCCTTTCTGTCTTTTTGTTTTGAGACAGGGTCTCATTATGTAGCCCAGGCTGGCCTTGAATTGCCAGTCTGTTAAGCGCTGGAACGGAGTCCTTACACTGTCAGGGCAGACATTGCCAGCATCGTTCCTGACTGTGGCTTGCTTTGCTGCGGCCACTGACCCTGTACAATTGTTTGTCACTCAGCGTATGACTGCTGAGAACCTGTTGGCTTTCCTCATTTTCTTGCTGATTGCCGTAAATGCAATCAGAAGCTCCTGAGGTGATATCAGAGGCTGCAGGGAGTTCTGGTTCGGTAGCCAGTGCCCTGCAGGGCGTGGAAAGGGACGGCAGACCCTGCAGCCACAGCACAGGCACCACTTTCCTGTCGTGGTCCAGAGGTGCCCCTGCTTCTGCCCTGGTGACGCTTAGGGTCCGTGGGGGCCCAGGATATTCTGGGTCCATCTGCCTTCTGGACCCTTCTCCCCACCTGCACCTCTACTCCAGTGCCACCTCTGTGTGGGATACCTGCTCTTCGTGTCCCTCCAAAGCCAGATCTTAGGCACAGAGTCCTCTCCTCCAGGACTTTAAGGTTTTTCCCTGTTCTGGCCCCCGTGGTTCCGCTGGTCCCCCACAGGGGAGCGTGGTCTCTTAGGGCAGGGTAAGGGTGCACAAGCTGACTGGGAAAGGCAGTGCTAGCAGAGACGGCATTCCCCGCTGGCCTGAGGTGATGGGGAGACCGGAAGGTGCTTGGAGTGATTCTGGGTGGACTCCTGGAGGAGTGCTCCTCAGGAGAAATTCAGGGTACTCTGTCTGTTTGCTTACCCAGGATCCCGCCAGACACCAGGCTGTCCTGGGCACTGCCTTCTTCATGCTGACGCTGTTTGTGGCTCTCTATGTGCTGGTGTATGTTGAGTGCCTGGTGCGGCGATGGCTGTGGGCCTTGGCTCTACTCACCTGGGCCAGCCTCATGATGCTCGGCTCCGTGCTGATGTGGGACTCCTGGAAGAATGGAGCCTGTGCGTGGGAGCAGGTAATGGTGGGAGCCGATGTCACTGGGCTTGGTGCAAGCAGTTGGGATATGCAACCAGCAGTTGTCTGCCTACTTGTGGCCTCGGGGCTTATGGGAGTGGGCCAGGGCAGGCCTGTGCTATGGCCTCCCAGCAGGCTGTGACACTGGGTTTAAGATGGCCCCAAGCTGGCTCTGTTCTCAGTGTGTCCCCTTGGGTATCTGGCATTTTTGGATAGAATCTGGCATTTCAGTTAGAGATGACAGAGTTCCAACTCAAGGAGTCAAAAAGGCACCAGTGGGTTAGAGGGCCAGGAAGAGCTGCGTGGGGCTGGCCCTTGCTCCGGTAGCCTGGCTGCTTAGGGCTCTGTGTTCCTCTGTGTTACTTTGTCCCTGAGCAGCCTATCCCCAGGTGAAGGCTGAGACGGCTGCTCACTCACTAGGCTAGCTATCCAGGTGACAGCTGGAGGTCTTGGTTGAGTTGCACCTGCCTGGCCTGGTAGTCACAGGTGCATCGCAGTCTGTGCCTTGTTCTGTGACCGGGTGGGCTCAGGCTGTGACCAGGTGGGCTCAGGCTGTGATCCGGTGGGCTCAGGCTTATGAAGCCATAGATTGAGGGCCAGACGGGGGGTATGAGGCTGCACTGTCTGTGGAAGGCAGCAGTGACCACCCCATCCCAGCCTTCCACCTGAGGCTTTGACACAGACAGAAGCTCAGTATTCAGACGACAAGCAAGGCGCTCTAGGTCTTCCTGTCCTGCTTGGTGTCTGTCTGTCACTGTGCCTCACCATACAGGGTTGGGATGTCCCAGGTGACAACAGGCTGAGGCCCCCTCCTGCTTGGCCCTGGGCCATGCTGAATGTCTGGGTGCACTGGGACCCCTCCTCCTGCTTGGCCCTGGGCCATGCTGAATGTCTGGGTGCACTGTCCCCAGGTACCGTTCTTCCTGTTCATTGTCTTTGTGGTGTACGCACTCCTGCCCCTCAGCACCCGGGCAGCCATCACAGTGGGGATGGTCTCCACCGTCTCCCACCTCCTGGTGTTTGGAGCTGTGACAGGAGCCTTCAAGAAGCCCGTGTCCGGAGCCCAGCTGGCGCTGCAGGTGAGGACGACGGAGCTGGGTGGGGGCAGGCTCTGACCTGGTGGAGGTTGAACTCCAGGACCGTGTTTGCAGACCTGTGGCAGAAGGCAGGGCCCCTTCCGGTCTGTCTTAACTTCCGGTTTAGTGGACTCGGGTCCTAGCTGAGCTCAGGGTCCTGCTGTGGTGAGGTGCTGCCTTGAGCATCTCTCCCCAGGGCCCTGGACTATTTGAGAGCACCCCAGTCTTGGTGTGTGTGACCCTGTTGAGTAAGTGGTCCCCCAGTTCTGGGGTGCAGGGATGTGTCTTCCTTCTGACTGGCCTAGATGCCCACTTCCGGGGGAGAGGCCAGAGCTCTGGACAGCCAGATGGGTGCTGTACCTCCTGTGGCTGGGTTTGGGGCTCAGTGAGGTAGCCATCATCTCCTTGGAAGCACTTGGCATTCCTGACTCTGGTACCCTGGCCTTAAACGGACAAGGTATGTGTTTAGCAGGGCAAAGGCCCAAGTTCTGGTCCTGTGGTCGTAGCAACTCATTAGGGAACCAGCTGCCTCCTTGGGCCTCAGTTTTCTGCCTAACCCAGGGGAAAAAATGACAACTTGAAGAGTATTTGGGTCAGACAGTGGGGACAAACGCCACCATGTCTGCTGTGGTTCATGGTGAACGAGCGTGCCCTCCGCTGCCCTCAGCTCCTGGCCAACGCCATTATCCTCCTGGGCGGGAACTTCACGGGTGCCTTCCACAAGCACCAGCTTCAGGATGCTTCCCGGGACCTCTTCATCTACACTGTCAAGTGCATCCAGATCCGCCGGAAGCTGCGTGTGGAGAAGCGCCAGCAGGTAGGGACCTGCGTGGCCACCTCCCTCCTCCTCCCTCCACTGGGCCAAGTGCTGCACATGTGGCCGGTCCCTCGGGGTCTCAGTGCTCGCAGCTTTGGCGGCAGGGAGGGCATGTGCTCCAACAGGGTGATGCTGTGTACATATAACCCAGCAGGAAACATGGCATCATGGGCATGGGAAGGATGACATCCGGATGGCTAGCCTAGGGCCTGCTAACACTCTGCTTGTCTCCACCGTCCTCCCACTGGTCTGCCTCCTGTGCCAGGAGAGCCTGCTGCTCTCCGTGCTCCCGGCTCACATATCCATGGGCATGAAGCTGGCCATCATCGAGCGCCTCAAAGAGGGTGGTGACCACCGTCACATGCCTGACAACAACTTTCACAGCCTCTACGTCAAACGGCACCAGAATGTCAGGTGGGCAAGGCATCCTTTGAGAATTCGGCCACCACTCCTCGGGCCCTGGGCAGGCAGGATAGTGCTGTTGGGAGCCTCAGTCCATATAGGGATTGGAGGTCAGGACCTTTTTGAGCCTTAGTTTCTTGTCTTTCTTTTTCTGGAGCTGAGAACTGAACCCAGGGCCTTGCACTTGCTGGGCAAGAGCTCTCCTTGTTTCTTCATGGGGAGAATCAGAGCAAGGCTCTTAAGGGCTAGGGTGCTTTTAGGGGAAGGAGACCCGAGGTCCCTCCAGAATCACAGCAGTCCGTGTGCGTTAGCTGGACAGCCGAGTGGAGGAGAAAAGGGATCTGATCCAAGCTCTGTCCCCCTGGACCAGCATCTTGTATGCAGACATCGTGGGCTTCACACGGCTGGCCAGCGACTGCTCGCCCAAGGAGCTGGTGGTGGTGCTCAACGAGCTGTTCGGGAAGTTTGACCAGATTGCCAAGGTGAGCGTGGGCACGCCGTCGACCTGCCGCTGCCTCACTCCCGTGCTTCGTGAGCAGGGAGTGGGTTGGAGACTGGGAGTGGATGGGTGGATGGGAGACCACATGGTGTCTATGTAGTAGGTGGTTTCTGCATACTCCGGAGTGGGGTGCCAAAATGCAGGAGCTGGCTGCCACCTCAGCAGGAGGAGATCGAGGTATGGGCGCATGCCCAGGTTGTTATGGGTCCAGCTCAGGTGGGGGCTTAGACTTGTAACCTGCAGATGGCTTCCAGTCTGCCAGCCTTGCCTTACATGGGGCTCTGGGAGCACCCAGAATGCCCAGCCTCACTCAGAGTCTCAGCTTAACAATTTCCCAGAACTGTGCGTATGTATAAGAAAGCTCGAGAAGCCGTCCAAAGAAACCTGTGGCCCAGTGTGGTGGTGCACACCTTTAATCCCAACACTTGGGAGGCAAAGCAGGCTGACCTCTGTGAGTTTGAGGCCAGCAAGGCGTTGGGGACAGGCTCAACTCAGACCCAGGGAGGGAGGGGAAGCCTGTGGGGCAGGGGAATATGGCCTGGAGCAGGTGCAAATCTCTGTCTCTGTGATGTGAGGGCGGCTCAGTGTGTGGAGTAGACACACATGGAGACAGACAGGGAGACAGACAGGGAGACAGACAGGGAGACAGACAGTGAGACAGACAGGGAGACAGACAGGGAGCAGACAAGGAGACAGACAGGGAGACAGACAGGGAGACAGACAGGGAGACAGACAGGGAGACAGACAGGGAGCAGACAGGGAGACAGACAAGAGCATGGTGGCCTAGGCAAAGAGTGGGATTTGTCCAAACAGGAATGGATTTTCTTTTCTTTCTTTTTAAAAAATTATTTATTCATTTTTATTTTATGTGCAATTAGTGTTTTGCCTGTATGCATGTCTGTGTTGGGGGGCTGGATCCCCGGAACTGGTTACAGACAGTTGCGAGATGCCATGTGGGTCCTGGGACTTGAACCTGGGTCCTCTGGAAGATCAGCCAGTACTCTTAACTGCTGAGCCATCCCTCCAGCCCCCAGGAATGGATTTTCATCCTTTACCAAATGTCCCGGTGGCTCCTGAGTGTTGGTGTTGAGCTGTGTGACTGGGGCCGCCCTTCGGGCACTCCTGGCCCAAGAGTTCTGTGCTTTCAAGAGAGGTGCGGGGTGGGGAGGGAGATTGGGAGCCAGTTGAGCACTGGCTGACCTGGGGACGGTCGCCCCCTCCCAGGGATGTTCTAGCCCCGCTCTGTCCCCTGGAGAGCCAGAGAACAGGGCTGCCTGCTGGGGCACCTGGGGTAGGGGTGATGAGCAGGTACAAGAAGCTGCACAGCAAAGGCCGGTGTTCCCACGAGACCCGCATGCGGCCCCTGCTAGAGCCTGGACGACTGGGGGCCTCGGCAGTGTCTGGTGGGACTGCAGACTCCCATCCCGGACCCTCCTTCCCCAAGCCAGGCCTAGCAGCATAGCATCTCTGGGCTTAGCTCCTGCCCGTCTCTGCTTAGGAAGCCTGCTGCAACTCCTGCCTGACTTAGTCTGCTTTGGCTACACTGGCTGTCCTAGTTTTATTTCAAGTAGCTTCCTGGCCTCAGGACCTTTGCACAAGTTGCGATGCTCTTCTTTTTGTTTATATTTTATTTTCTTATTTTTATTTGTGTGTGTGTGTGTGTGTGTGTGTGTGTGTGTGTGTGTGTGTGTGTGCATTTGCCTGTGTGAGGGTGTTGAATCCCCTGAGACTGGAGTTACAGGCGGTTGTGAGCTGCCATGTAGGTGCTGGGAATTGAACCTGGGCCCTCTGGAAGAGCAGCCAGTGCTCTTAACCACTGAGCCAGCTCTTTAGCCCCCAGAATGCTTTTCTTCTAGGACTGTAATGGCTCTGGTTTCCTGGGCCCTTCCTCTTTCTCCAGTGCCCCATCTTCTCCTGGCTACATCTTCCAGTTGTATTGATTTAGTTCCAATCTCCTACTTGCATGTTCATTCCACAGCTGCAGGATTTGTGTCTGTAGTCTGCTGCTATGCCTAATTACCTGGCCAGGTATACAGTAGGTGCTCCAACACTACATGGACAAATAAAAGAGACAGTCCCTCCTGCATAGCCCTTACTAAGCCTGGCTTTCTTCGGATTCCTGGCTGGGTCTCTCCGGGTCCTGTCGCCGGGCTGTGGAGGGGTCCAGCTGGCCCCAGGCCCGCCCTGAGCACGCCCTTTGCTTGCTTACCCTGCAGGCCAACGAGTGCATGCGGATCAAGATCCTGGGTGACTGCTACTACTGTGTGTCAGGCCTGCCTGTGTCGCTGCCCACCCACGCCCACAACTGCGTGAAGATGGGTCTGGACATATGTGAGGCCATTAAGTAGGTGCAGGTGGGCCAAGGCACAGGAGCATGTCCCCTTGCTAAACTACACACTGAGATGGGGGGTGCTGAGGCTTGCCTGGATTCTCAGCATGCCGAGAGGAGGATGCACACTCCTTCTGTTGACCTCCCTTCCTCAGGGCCCACCTGTGACTAGAAGCATCTAAAGTCCTGAGTTAGGCTAGGCATGGTGGCGCATGCCTTTAATCCCAGACAGAGGCGGTAGATCTCTGTGGGTTTGAGGCCAGCCTAGTCTTCATAGCAAGTTCCAGGACTACTTAGAGAGTAGTCCTCAAAAAACAAAATAAGATAAATAAAAAGCTCTACCCTTCCAAGGACTGAGACCGCAGGAGAAGCTCAGGGCAGATAGCGGGAAGGCCTTTCAGGGGCAGGGCCCAGCTCCAAGACTCCATCTGCGTTCCCTTCCTCTGGGAAGTCTCTGGTGCCAGAGGACTTACTCTCCAGCAACAGGGAGGCCTGGACCGCCTGGGCCCTTTCGGCATCTGTCTGTTGGTGAGGTGCTCAGGGGTGTGCAGGAAGAAACTCGAGATGATGGTGTCTAGGCAACAGAGGAGGTACCCCATCCAGTACCGCTTTGCTGTGCCTCCGGGAACTCTTCCCATAGCGCAGAACACCCAAGACGCCTGCCACGGGACCCGGCAGGTCCCCATTCTGCATTGTGTAGAGGCAGCTTTTGCCCCGGCTGGCTCTAGCCCTGGTGGCTTCAGCTCACCCCTAGTTCTAGTGGTGGACACAGGTGCCTGAGGAGTGTAGAGCTCTGCTCGTCCTGGGGGCATGGGCTGGGTGCCACATCCTGGGAGGCTTCACCTTGGAGGTTCCTTGTACTGAGTAGGGCCCACGTTTCCTGTAGTTGGAGTAGAGAAGCCCCCAGGGTCCTTGTCTATGCTGGGTGTCGGGTAGGGCTTAGCATCCGCCACACCTTGGCAGCCTCATCAGAGCCAACCAGGGCTGTCTGCCAGGCAAGGGATACGAGGGACAGAATGTGACCCATCAGCATCCTAAGTCCCTCTCTCTTCCTACACACCCTTGAGCTGGATGTGAGCCTGCACCCTCCCAGGGGAGGGGTTATTGACCTCTCTGAAGAGGAGGCCCTGCCACCCTTGGTGCCCTGTCTCCCTAGGTACCCTGCCTCCCTAGGTGCCCTTGGCCTTGAGCTGCTGTAGGTGACAGACTGCTCTGCTCCAGGCAGGTGCGTGAGGCCACAGGAGTGGACATCAGCATGCGTGTGGGCATCCACTCCGGGAATGTGCTGTGTGGGGTCATCGGGCTCCGCAAGTGGCAGTATGATGTGTGGTCCCATGATGTGTCCCTGGCCAACAGGATGGAGGCAGCTGGAGTCCCTGGGTGAGTTTCATCAGGGCAGGGGCAGAGACCAGGGTGACCAGGGCGGGGCCGGGTTTGGAGGCAGGGGATGCAGTCGGTCCTTCCTGCTGTGCACCCCTAAACGGGTGCCTGGGCTGGCCATGCTGCGTTATCTGACTTGGGTCTCCCCAGCCGGGTGCACATCACAGAGGCGACACTGAACCACCTGGACAAGGCGTACGAGGTGGAGGATGGGAACGGGCAGCAGCGTGACCCCTATCTGAAAGAGATGAACATCCGAACCTACCTGGTGATCGACCCCCGGGTACAAGGGCTTGGGGGTGGGTGGGGGTTGGGTGGCCTGGGAGCGGGGTCCCAACTACTAGCAACTGACCCTCAAGACTGGTGAGGTGGCAGAGACTAGCCCGAAGTAGGAGGCCACTTCCTTGAACTGGGCACATTCTAGGCACCAAGGAACAACCTGTTTGTGTTTCTGTAAGGCGGGAGCAAGGGCTACGTCAGCAACTCCGGGCACAGAGCGCGGTGTTAGTGCAGTCCCATGAAGCTAATTGCAGGAAGGCCTCTTCACCCCCGTGGCTACTCCAGGAAACAGGGAATGGCCAGGCAACCTGCTTCTGGAGTTTGCTGGTCTGGGGCTCTCAGGTGGCTCAAGTTATCTCCTTTCCTGGAGCCCAGCTTGCCCTGGTGGCCCAACTGGAGAGGCTGCTGGGTTTGTCTGCTGACAGTTGCAAGTTGGCAGTCTGCTGTTTTCTGTTGTCTGTGGCCTTAACCTCCTGAATCGTCCTTGGAGTTTGCTCAAGAATGCTTACAGGAGCTCCTTCCAGCTCTCTTGGTCCTGGCTCTTGGCTCCTCCTGGAGGCAGCCTACAAACCCACCCAGCCTCCACGGCCTGCCTTGGCTCCTCCCTGTCCCCTCATATTACTAATGTCCACAGGGCAGCCTCCACACACGGAAAAATGCCTGCTCCCGGCCTTACTGTCCCCATGGGGTCCTGTTTATTTATCTTTTTCCTTGCTTATTTTCATTCATGCTGCCAGAGACCGCTGGCCCTCTAGTCTGCATTTCGCCCAGCTCTGCTCTGAGCATGCGTTTAGTGGATTTGAAATGGATGAAGCCCCAACCTCAAAGACATCTGCAGGCGCAGTAGTCCCGAAGCCCACCCCCAGGGCTGCCAGACTGAGCCGGCAGAATTGCAGGATGCTGGCCAGACTCCAGCCAAGCTCCAGAGAAGCAGCAGCATGTGTGCGCGCGCCACTGGCGGTGTGGGACGGTTGTTCCGCCTGGCCCCTCTCTCGAGCTCCGCCTGGCTCCTCTCTAGCTCCATTTACCCGCTCGCTCAGTCACGCAGCTGGCAGTTTAGAGGGGCCAGTAGGAGTTCTTCGTTCTCCAGCCAGCACGTGACCAGGGTCACCTGCCATAGCGGAGCCTCAGGGGAGGGGCCTCACCTCCAGAAGCTCTTGCTCACAGCATGGCTTGGCTGTCCTCTGCCCGGATCCTAGGACCTTCTCGGGTGGAGCTCCACATCCTGGTCCTAGACTGACTAGATGGCAGGCAGTGAGGATTTAAAGAGGTTTCTACCCCCAGAGATGCTGGAAGTGGGCGTTGGCCAGCGTCTGGGGCTGTGGGTGGGCTGCTGCCTGTTGGTGTTGGCAAATCTGAGAGATGGGCCCTGGAGGAGTGAGGAGGACAAGGGCCTCAGCAGACACAGGAAGCCTATGCTTGCGTCTGATGACCTTAGGGCTCTTCTCCTCCCTCGCTTGTAGCCATGCCTGGCTACCCTGACTGGAGAAGGCTCAGGCATGCGTTAAGGGAGACTTGGGGCTCAGTGGCACTAAGTGGGGAGCCAGAGCTGGGCCCTCAGGGCCTGGCTAAGCTGCTGAGGCCCCAGCATGATGCCGGCCCCAGCCAGTGTGTGGCAAATGGGTCTGGAGCTGAACTTGACGCTGGGTGTGGCACTCCTTCAGACCCCTGGAGTGGCCCCTGCCTTAGTGGCTGTTTCTGGATTCAGGCCAGCACATCTTTTTTTCTCGCTGCTCTCACCGGAAGGAGCATGTGTGAGCCACCTGTGGGAGGGTAGGGCAGGGCTCCTGCTTACTCCTTTCTCGAGGGGGGCAGAGCTTGAGCTGTGTGGCCTCTTCCTGACCTGGGGTAGGGATGGTAACTGAGGGCTTCAGCCAGTCCCCAGGGCAACCCACGCTTCAAGAAGAAGCTCAGAAACTTAACCCTTTCCCCTTTACCAGACCGGCCAATGCTCCAGGCGTGTTCACATGCATGCCAGGGACGGCCGAGAGGGGAACATTTGGGACGGGTCGTGTCTATGTGTTTGCAGAGCCAGCAGCCACCCCCACCCAGTCATCACCTCCCCAAGCCCAAGGGGGATGCAGCCCTGAAGATGCGAGCTTCAGTGCGTGTGACCCGCTATCTCGAGACCTGGGGGGCAGCGCGGCCCTTTGCACACCTCAACCACCGGGAGAGTGTGAGCAGCAGTGAGACCCCCAGTCCCACTGGACAGAGGCCAAAGGTAGGCCCCCTCCCGTGTGGTTGCTGGGCCAGGAGCCCTCTGAGAAGCAAAGGCTCTGTCCTGCCCTTTTCCTCTAGCTGTATTGTGAGTAGTCTCTGCCAAGCCTCCCTCGTGGACGGGAGGAGGTGTTTGGAGAATACTCCAATGGGGCCTGGCCTCTCCTGGTCCTTTCGCAGTGTAAGGAAAGAAAGGCAGGCCCGTGGTGGATGAGGCTCAGGGCTCAGGGACTGGTCATCTTCTCTCCCCCCTTTCAGGCCACCCCTCTGCGCCGACACCGTGCCATTGATAGGTAGGTGCGCTGCCCTCCCTGCACACTGCTAACTGGTGGCACTGTGCCAATCTCCTCCTGCAGGCACCCCTGACCAGTCTCTGTCTGGGGCAGCCCCTCCAGCTCCAGCCGAAGCCTCTATGGGTTTGCCAGGGCTCGGGTTTGTCTTCTCCGGGTGCGGGACTCCCAGGTCGCAGGCTCTGGCTGAATGGCTGGGGTGGGGTGCCCACTGCGTGCTACCTTAGGGCTGGGACAGCAGGTTGCTGTGTTTGCGGTGAGGGAAGGTGTTTCTCTGGCTTCTGTGCTGGTCCTGCCCCTAGCCGAGGTGGCCTTGGACTTCTGGCTGGACTGCTGGCCCTTCGCTTAACCTCACTCCCCACCCCGTTTCATGAACTTGGAGACCCCACTAGAAACCAGTAATCCCTCTGGTAAATCCAACACGCATACTCTAGCCCCCCCAGCCGCGTAGGGGTGATGGAGTTGGGGCTTTAATTCTAGGAGTACATCCCCCAAGGGGCGCTTGGACGATGACTGTGATGATGAAATGCTCTCAGCCATCGAGGGGCTCAGCTCTACCAGGTGAGGCCTGTGATCTCCACCCACCTCCCCCCTCCCTGGCAGGACTGCCCCCCCCCTAGACCCTGAGCCCTGGCTGTGGCCTGTGGCTCCTTCCCCTGCCCCGGGGCTGCCTCCAAGAGCGCGGCCCTCTGGTGCTCTGTGGGCACATCGAGCTGCTCTTCCCCCAGGCCCTGCTGCTCCAAGTCTGATGACTTCCACACCTTTGGCCCCATCTTCCTGGAGAAGGGCTTTGAGCGTGAGGTGAGGGCGGGCGGGGCAGTTACCACAGAGCAACAGGTCCAGGCCTGGTGGGTGGAGCATGAACGGCCGGCCCAGTAGATCACAGAGGGCGGGGAGGCCCAGGGGGCTCCTAACTGGCTGTTGGGGTGCACAGGGTTCTGTGCAGTCTCGTTTGTGCCTCTTTCTGTTGGCCTCGCCCCATTAACTGACACCACTCTAGAGATTTGTCCCCGAGGTTTGAGGCAAGTAAGTGCTTCAGACTCCCAGGAGAAAGATACCCCAAATCCAGTCTCCTGGCTGCACACCTGTAGGGCCTCAGGCCTGGCTGCTGTGACACACTTTTGGGGGCTCTATAGGTCTAGAGCAACTTATGGCTCCCTGCAGGTCTTGGGTCCATGTCGGGATTGAATCTACCTTTCCCCCAAGCAGCCAGGCAGGTGCCAGGTCGGGTTTAGCTAGGAGCCTGCAGCCCGTGGTGCTGAAGCTGCTTGTCCTTAGCTTTAGGCTGTGGCCATCTGAGGAGGCTCCTGCTTTCATGGCCCGGTGTCCAGTATTGAGAGGAGGAACCTTCTCCCTGGGGATTCTGAGTAAAGTTACTGGGAGGGGAGCGGAGGGGGCTTCCCTTGGCTATGGGTCACATGACCTGAGTCTTGGTTGCTCCTTTACCGTGGGAGCATGATAATTCGGTCACAAAGTGGCCACGGGGATCCAGGCCCAGAAAACACTCCTTTGTAAGGGGTGAGTTCAGGAGCTCGAGCTTGTTTCCCCGAGAAATGAAAACAAAAGCCATGCTGGGCGCTGGGTTTTGCCAGTGCGGAGAGGAACTGTGTAACTTTGGCAGGCGGATGGCTGCATGTGGCACTACCTGGAGCTCCCGGAGTGGTGCCAGGCATTTTGTTTTAGTATATGAACTGGGGGTAGGCATTAAAGGGTCCTTGCTGGTGGCTGTCTCTCACGGTATAATCTCTCTCTCCCCGCAGTACCGCCTGGTGCCCATCCCCCGGGCTCGCTACGACTTCGCCTGTGCCAGCCTGGTCTTCGTCTGCATCCTGCTTGTCCACCTCCTTGTGATGCCCAGGTCAGCCTGCGGTGGGAGGGGTGAGCAAGCCCACTGGGGTCCAGCTGGCAGAGCCCAGCAGAAACTGGCAGGGTGCTCCGTGGCTGGCTGGAAGGGTCAGTGGCTTCAGCTCTGGATCCCCCACCAGGGAGCAGGGGTTATAGCCCTAGAGCTGGAGTTACTGGCCCCTCCTTGTGACAGGGTGGGAAACTGTCCCAGGCTCCCGTCTGCCTTAGCCTCTGGAAACAGTGGGCACTGTCGTTTCCCCCTTTCAAGCAGAGGAAGTGAGACTTACAGTCTGGACCCAAGAGCCCTGAAATTCCTACTTCAGGTTCTGGGGTCCTGCTGGTGTGGACAGAGACAAGGGGCCAGAGAGAACCAAGCTTAGCCACAGATAGCTTCCAGAAAGCAGTTAAAACAAAGCACGGCTGGCATTGTGGTTTTGGATGTGCTTAGTAGACTAAATGGGACTAGTGAGATGGCTCAGCGGGTACAGGCACCTGCCAACAAGCCTGACAGCTCGAGTTCGATCCCTGCCACCCACATAAAGGAGAGAACTGATTCCAGAGCTATTCTCTAACCGCCACATACATGTTGTGGCATGTAGGTGCCCACATTCACATGCACGTGCGAGCGCGCGAGTGCGCACACACACACACACACACACACACACACACACACACACACACGTGCACTCGCTAAATAGCAACCAGGTATGGTGACCTAGGCCTGTGATTCCACAACACTGAGTGGCAGAGAGATATGAGGATCGCTGCAAGTTTGAGGCCAGACTGGCCTACAGAGAAAGTTCCAGATCTGTTAAGACCCTGTATCAAAACCAAACTAAAGCCAGACACTGGTGCCACACACCTTAATCCCAGTACAGGCAGATCTCTGAGTCCCAGGCCAGCCTGGTCTACAGAGTGAGTTCCAGGACAGCCAGGGCTACATAGATAAACCCTGTCTTGAAAAACTAAAACAACAAGAAGACCAAAAACAAACTAAACTAAATAAAGATTGTATATGGATGCTTAAATTTTTAAATTGTATTTATGTGTGTTTTTCCTGTGTGTATGTGGGCTTGGTTGAGGCTATTAAAGGAGTGTGTCCAATCCTCTGCAACTGGAACTGGAGTTATAGGGGGTTTAGAACCAACCATGTATGTGCTGGGAACCGAACCTGGATCCTTTTGCAAGAGCAACAAGTGCTCCTAACCCCCAAGCCATCTTTTCGTCCCCCTATACAGATGCTTTTGTGTTTTACATGCCAGATATGGTTCCAGAGGCTCGTGATGTGACTCACTTCTTATAAACTTGGCCTCTAGGGGGACTTGATGACAACCTCGGTCTTTAAGATTTGTTATTTGTGGGGCATCTGGAGTCATTTTTCAAGGTCTCTTTTGCTGGGTGCAGACTATTCACTGGGGAGGGATAGGTGACCCTGAGCTGGGGAACAGGGACTGGTGGGAGGGACCTGGACACAAGTTTTCCTTCCTTTCCAGCGTGGCCTCTTTGGGTGTGTCTTTTGGCCTGGTGGCCTGCCTGCTGGGGCTGGTGCTAAGTTTCTGCTTTGCTACTGAGTTCTCGGTGAGTGGCTCCCTGAACCCAGTGCATTCCTCCATCCCTCTGGCCTCTCCCTCACCAGTGGTCTTGCTCTGGGTGCTCCATCTTACCCCCAGGACTATTGAGTCCCTGTAGTCTGCTCCCAAGTGCTCAGTCTCCCAGGCTGCTTAGTGCCATCCACCCTCCTGGGTAAGGCTGTCCTTTGTCCCAGCTGCTGTTTTGTGTGACTTGTCCCTCTCCATAGCGGTGCTTTCCAGCCCGAGGTACACTCCAGGCCATCTCAGAGAGTGTGGAGACACAGCCCCTGCTCAGGCTGTCCCTGGTTGTGCTGACTGTTGGCAGCCTACTGACTGTTGCCATCGTCACTATGGTGAGTTACAGGGTCAGGACAGCAAGCCCCGCAGGGCTGTGCCAAGGGTCTATCTCCTGGGGAACCCAGATCCTAGAATCCTAGTCCCGTTGCCCGAACAGTTCCGTCTGGAGTGACCCCTCCGTAGCTCTGCAGTGGTCTGTGGGGCCCCCAGTGCAGGCTTAGAGCTCTTCACCCCTTGAATGGAGGGCTTGAGGTGCCCAGCAATTCTAGATATGTGCTGCCCACTCCTCCTTCTCATGCTCTTTGGGACTCTTTTTTTTTCTCTTCAGTGAGAGACAAGACTCGCCCTCTGGTCCAAATCACATGTGGGTTGCTGAGCAACCTGTAGGAACTGGCAACCCTGCCTTATGCTAGCTCCTTCCTTTAGAACAGAGGTCTCCTCCACACTGTTGACTACAGTTTTGAGAGTGCACTCTTATGCCCTTCTCTCAGGGTCCAGGAGCTTTCTCTCTGCCTCCCTGGGCTGCCGTAGTCTCAATACTTCTGTTCTCTGTCTCTCGGTACCCTGGGTCCTCCACTCATGGCGGTTGCTGTGGACACAGCCACTCTGGGCCTAGCACCCAGCCTCAGGGCACTGTTGGTGCCCACAATTGTCTTGGGCCATCCGCCTTGAGCCTGGCAGTTCTTCAACCCTGGACCTACTCTAACGGCAACCTGTCTTCCCTCAGCCACTGATGCTTAACCCAGGCCCGGAGCCACCAGAAGATACAGAGACAAGCCCACTGACTGCAAGGAGTAGAGTCGGGACCCCAAGTGAGCTCCTCCCGGTGAGTATGCTCATCCTGACTCCCACACAGCCCGCCCCGGGCCAGCCCCCTCGTGCTGCTGGGCCACTCTGGCCAGAATGCAGTTCATGGTCTGAATCTGGGGCCTTGGAGAGAAAGGATGAGTCCAGTGTCTCCCAGCCTAACTGGAGAAGGCCAGGTCCAGGCAGCCAAACTTGTTCCCTGCCTGCCTCAATGCCTGGGAGGCTGCTGGTTCTAAGCCCTGGGTTGGCGGGGCCTGCAGATCAGCAGCAGTTGCACTTGAGGGTGCCTTTGGGTCACTTGTCCTAGGCAGTCAGATTCTCTGCACTCAGAGGTTAATTGGAGAGACCCAACTCAAGAATAGGGGCCAAGAGAAGTGAGGAGACCAGGGCGGACCCTAACCCCGTGCCCTGCACTTTCCCTGCTCATCCCTGATGGAAAGGAAGCGGTGGGCCCAGGATGGCACAGACAGCTGGCCTCGCAGCCTCGGCAGGAAGGAGCTGGCCGTAGACGGGCACTGCCAGCTTATGCCTCCTGGTGACTCCAGACATGCCTCCTGGTGACTGACACAGGACGTTGTCCCCACCCACAGTACTACACCTGCAGCTGCATCCTGGGTTTCATCTCGTGCTCTGTTTTCCTGCGGATGAGCCTGGAGCTGAAGGCCCTGCTGCTGACAGTGGCCTTGGTGGCTTACCTGCTGCTCTTCAACCTCTCCCCCTGCTGGCATGTCCCAGGCAACAGCACGGAAACCAACAGGACACACAGGTGGGCCACTGCTGCAAGCTCGTTGGTTTTGATCTAGCTCCTGGCCAGAGCGTGGTGCTTCGTCCATGGTTCCAGTGAACCAGACCCTGAGGACAAACGGGTTTCTGCTCTAAGAAGGTGGTGACTGGTCCAGGCTCCAGGTCTCCTGCAGTGAGAGCTGGGTGTATGGCTTACGGATGGGTTCTTGGGGAGGTCCTAACAATCAGGCTCCTCCTCTTTCTGAGCCTGTCCAGGGGTGAGAAGAGAGCCAGCTAAGTCTGACCTGTGGCTGGGGCACCAGTGTCAGAGTACAGATGCCTCCTGGGCAGTCACACACTCCCGTGGGTTGAGAAGGGCTCTGCAGCCCCTAAGGCTTCGGTCTGAGGGAAGGACTTGGATCTCTTGCAGCCCACATGGTTAGAATCTTGAGGAACTGGGGGGAAGGGGGCGGAACCTGCCTGCCTTGCTCTGGCCAGGTCCTTCTGCCAGTCACTGTTGCAGCTCCTCAGTCACAGACAGGCCTTTTGGAGTGACCATGAAGTCCCTTCACTGAGGCTGCCACCCCAGTGCCCCTGCTTCCCTGCACAGCTACAAATGTTTACTCCCTACCCCTTAGGACACCACCACTCCTGCCTGCTGGACAAAGCACACCCAGCTACACCCTTGCTCTGGAGGCTCAGGTGACTACTCCCTCCCCCGGCAAATGTTTAGAGAAAGATCTGAAGACCATGATCAACTTCTACCTGGTCCTGTTCTATGCTACCCTCATCTTGCTGTCTAGACAGGTGTGTAGGCTCCTTGCCCAGCCTCTGCTGAGCCAACAGTTAGTGTGGAGGGCTGGGGCCCAAGATACCAATGTGGTAGAGGCTTGTCATGGAGGTGCTGGTCTCGTGGGCGGGGCAGGGTGGGCAGCACTGTAGGTAGGCTGGTTCAGCACCCGATGTCCCAGCCCTGGGTGATGTGTCACAGGTGTGACAGCTATGACACCGGCTCCCTGGTTTACAGATTGACTACTATTGCCGCTTGGACTGTCTGTGGAAGAAGAAGTTCAAGAAAGAGCACGAGGAGTTTGAAACAATGGAGAATGTGAACCGCCTCCTCCTGGAGAATGTGCTGCCAGCGCACGTGGCTGCCCACTTCATTGGTGACAAGGCAGCTGAGGTGTGTGAAGGTGGGGTACTCTAGGAGTCTGTGGGCACAGCTGCCCAGTGCTGGCAAAGCCTGGGTTACTCAGCAGTCCCCCCAGAGTACGCTACGTGCAAAGGCAGGCTTGCAGCAAGTCAGAGGTCTATGTCTACCACGGGGTGTGGGCAAGATGCCTCCCTCGCGTTGACATCCACCCTGGAAAACAGCTCATCATGAGGTTTAGACATGCTGAGGTGTCCATCATCCGGATGTTCTGCACTGCTAAGACTCCTGCACTTCCATGAGGCACATGTGGCAGGGCCTCTCTGACACAGGGAACGGGCCCCAGGACAGCTCAGTACAAAACCACCTCCTCACTGGACTCCTCCTGCTTTAGCTGTATTCAAGCCGTCACAGCTCACACAGCTGGCCAGCCTGCACTGGCACTCCCCAGCACCTGAACCCAGTGGTCTTAGGGTCCTGTCTCTCCTCTGCCCTGATGTAGGACTGGTACCATCAGTCTTATGACTGTGTCTGTGTCATGTTTGCATCCGTTCCGGACTTCAAAGTGTTCTACACTGAGTGCGATGTCAACAAAGAAGGATTGGAGTGCCTGCGCCTGTTGAATGAGATCATTGCTGATTTCGACGAGGTGAGGCCTGGCCAGTCTGCATAGGGGTGTAGAGCCTGTCACCTGTGTGGTGGCAAGGGGAGGGTGGAGGCTCAATGGTAGAATGCAAGCTTAACTATGTGTGAAGCTCTGGCTTGATCCTTAGTCCTGGAAGAGAAAACAGCAGTTAAAGAAAACATGAGGCCATCGGGCTGGCAACTGTATTACATTAAATACCAAGAGACGTATTTTTTTTAATTGAGTAAGCAAACTTTTATTAAATATCTACTGGTCCTTCCAGAGCAACTTTGACTCAGTCTAAGCTCATTCTGTCAACAACTCGGGCTAGTTTGTGGGAGACACTGACCCATCTCTAAGTAAATGATGCTGGGTAGGTTGCTCTTAAAAGGATCAGCGTGCAGACAAGGGAAGGGAGTAGAGGATGGGAGCTGTGTCTTCAGGACTTGCAGTCATGAGCTCAGATGGACACACACGCCATGCATGCGATGTGTCTGCATTGTACATCGGGAAGGCAGGTCCCCTCTTCCTTTTCTCTTCCAAGGCTATAGTGGTTTCCTTTTGATTTGCAGCTGCTGCTGAAGCCCAAGTTCAGCGGTGTGGAGAAGATCAAGACCATTGGCAGCACCTATATGGCTGCAGCAGGTCTCAGTATCCCCTCAGGACATGAGAACCAGGTACTCCAGGCCTGTGTGAAAATCAATACTACAGGCTATCCCTAGTCCTATCACTTTCTTTGGCACAGCCTGTAGATCCTTGATGGGAACAGGAACTCTATACCCATGAGATGTGCGTGCCCTCAGTCAAGGCTGCATAGAGTAGGTATGTAATCCATGTCCTGCAGGACCTGGAGCGGCAGCATGTGCACATTGGTGTCTTGGTGGAGTTCAGCATGGCCCTGATGAGCAAGCTGGATGGAATCAACAGGCACTCCTTCAATTCCTTCCGCCTCCGAGTTGGTGAGGCTCACAAACGGGCGGCTCAGCCTTGTGCACAGCCTCCTGGTTGGAGGGTGTTCTGGGCCCTTTGCTATGAGTTTTCAGTAAACTCTCTGATGTCATCATTAACATTGACCTTTTGCATATGGTCATGTAGCCTTTGTGGGGGAAGTATGTGTGTGTGGTTTGGGAGTTATCTTATTTCTTGACTGTCTCCCTGGAACCTGGGGCTTGCAAATGAGGTTGGGCTGGCTGGCCAGCCAGTGAGCCCAAGAGACCTGCCTGTGTCCATACCCCAATACTAGGATTACAGGTGTCATCACACTTCTTACATGGGGTGCTAGGGATCCAACTCAGGTTCCCAATGTTTGTGTAACAAACTGAGCTCTCTCCAATCCCTTTTATTAATAAATTTAGAATTACATTTCTTTCGTGTGACATACCACAGTTCACGTGTGGAGGTTGGAGAACAACTTACAGGAGTCAGTTCTCTTCCCACCATGTGGGTTCAGGGAATTTAACACAGATCACCAGACTTTGTGGCATCATTGTCAGCCGCCAACCCTACCTTTGAAAAATTTTAATAATATGTAACTATATAAATGCAGGGCCAAAAGTCATGGCTGCAAATAAATGATCTTATAATACAGAGACTAAAACAGATTAAACCAAACCAGTCATAGCTTTACAAGTAGGCATTTAAAGCCTTTTTATTTTTATTTTTAAAAGAGAAATTAGCATATACTAGGGAAGAGCTAATGAATCCAGGAGTCTGGACAAGAGATAGCTGGGGCCTTTCATACCTCAGGAGCACAACCTGCAGAAGAGAACAGGTCCAAGGGAACCTGCACCCCTTTTGCCCTGTTACCCATCTCTGTGGGCTTCCTCAGTGTTACTACACATGGCTAACTGTAAATCATCTTAAGGCATAAACCATGGGCCTGTAATTGCTGGAGTGATTGGAGCACGCAAGCCTCAGTATGACATCTGGGGAAACACAGTCAACGTAGCCAGCCGAATGGAGAGCACTGGAGAGCTTGGGAAAATCCAGGTAAAGGTCCACTGGGAAGCATGGACTTGGGGAAAAGACACGCCCTGAGGAGGTATCCTGCTCTAGGACCTGGCCCTTCTATCACTTGGCTGTGTGACTCTGGCCATCACTGTTGGGAATAGACAATGGAGACACTGCTCTTCATTTCAGGTCACAGAAGAGACGTGCACCATCCTCCAGGGACTAGGATATTCTTGTGAGTGCCGAGGGCTGATCAACGTCAAAGGCAAAGGCGAGCTGCGGACTTACTTTGTGTGTACAGACACTGCCAAGTTTCAAGGGCTGGGGCTGAACTGAGGTGTCTGGTAGTCAGTCTCCTTCCCTGAGGGAGCCAAGAATGCAGCCCATGCCAGCTGCAGATGGCCATGTGGCTGCGTTGGACTTGCACTACAGGACGGCTTTGACACGTACATCAGATTCTGTTTGAAGCAGCTACTAAGTTGTCCACAGGACCTCCGTGTTTCAGCCTGTGCGGTTCCTAGTTAGATCACTGGTCTACTACAGGCTATGTGCGTGTTCCAGACTGTTGGGGAAGAGACCTTAGTGTGTGACCAAGACTGATACCCAGTGAATAGCATACACAGGGCGACAGACCCTCTCCTGGTTCTAGGAGACTCAGCCAGGTTGTCTAGCATGGGTTGAAGCCTCTTCTTCCCATCAGTACCTGCCATGGGATGCTAATCTCTCATGCAGGTGACATTCTGGCAAATGGAATTGAAAACAGTGTGCATACTGGCAAGTGGTCTCAAACAGCAGGAAAAATTTCTAATTGACATGCCACTTTTTACCATCTCTGGCTTATGTCTGAAATGGGAGTTTTACCTTTACTACAGACTCTTTGATGCTAGACAAAGATCTTCTTTCCAGTATATTCTCCCTTCTTAACCACTGACTACATGTAAACAGGACTGCTGTCCAGTGCTAGGATGAACTTGACTACAGAGACAGTTCTAAGGGTGGCAAGGAGCAGCAAAGCCTTGGATCTCCATCAAGCATTTTGACGTAGGTCTTTTGGGACAAGGTTCAGGAAGCTCAAAGTCTAGAAATGAGGTATAATGCTTCAGTTTTTCTGTCTGCATTTTATTTATTCTTTTGGAGACAGGGTCAGCCTAGGTTGGCCTCAAACTATCAACTCTACGGCTTCAGTTTCCTGAGTGCTTCAAATACAGATGTGCACTACCATGGCTAGCCTTTTTTTCCATGGGAAAGCCTGTGTAGAGAGGGCTTGGGCAATCTGTGTACCTCCTGTTCTTTCTCCAGTCTTCTGAGTTGAGTGCAGAGTTGCAGAGACTATTCATCTACCTGGCAGGAACATGTGTTGAGGTCCCTGACCTGTAAAATTGAGCCCCTTGACAAATGCCAAGTTATTCTCCCTCAAATGAGTCAAGGCAAAAACTAGCTTTGTGTGATGGTGTTTTACTGTGCTTTAGCTCCAGACCACTCAATGTGAGAGATGAGCAAACATATCACTCCTTTCTGGAAGTGACTTCACTACATCATGGTATTCTTAGCTAGAAGTCACCAGGGAACCTCCTAAAGTACAGAAAATCATGCATACAGGAGTCTGCAAATGATGTATGTGTTGCAGGAGGGTGCCTGACCAGCCAGACTTAACCTGGAACTTCAGTTCAAAGATGAGTGGTCAGGGATTCAGACCACTGTGTTCTGTGGAGTTTATCAGCCCCGGGAAGAGGGGCTGACTCCAGTCTGCACAAAGGAATCTAGCAGTGGTCAGGGCTTTTCCAGCAGGCTCCTTTGGGGTTAGGATGCAGTCCACTCAGAGCAGGAATACTCACTCCTACTCTTCCAATATCCAAGTTACTTTTTTTCTCTCCAGCAACAGAAATCCTGGTTTAAAAATAATTGGCTACTGCTCACACATGGTTCTCTATTTTCAACTGAAGCACTGTGTTAGGAATATTTTTAAGTTATTGTTCAAGTCTTAAGAGTGTAACTGACAAAAAATAAAAAAACCACTTGGGAGTTATGCACATACTTGTTTTTGAATTTCCAAGTAATTTCTTCACAAGTGTCTTGTTTTATCATAGGAACTTAAAAAACCCCAAAGCCTTCTGTGGGTCAAGGATTCATTTCAGAGTCTCCCCTAAGGTGGCCTTCATTGACTACAGAAGGTAATACTCTAGGTTTTCCCGCTTACTTAGGGACACTTCCTGACAAATGATTATTATTGCATACTTCATGGAGAACAGGCCAATGCTTGGAGCAGGTGAAGCAAACAACTATGGTTTGCTCTGTATGCTTAATATTTATAGCTCCATAACATCTGTCTCAAGTGTTTTGTTTCCTTTTCATATAAATCAGTGTCTGGCTCCTTTTTATATATTCAACCAACAATTAAAAAACCTGAATTTCCTAAGGTGTTTTTTTTTTTTCCTAAGGTGTTTTGAATTGAAGTATTTCTGGGTCTTCAGGAACTGGCTTGTGGCAAGCAGATCTACTGGTGAATTATAGGTTATTGTCTAACACTGTATATGAGGCAAGGTTTCATATAGCTCAGGCTGTCCTCAAACCTTCAACTCCTAATCTTCCTGTGTTTACTCCTAGAGTGCTAGGATAATAGACATATGCCATTATAGCCAGACTCTTTCTTTTTGGGTGCATATGCATCTGTGGAGATCAGAAGACAACCTTGGTATCAGTCTTCACCTTCTATCTTGAGACGGGGTCGCTCTCTTCTGCCAGCTTCATGCTAGCTGCCCTGTTGAGTGTCCAGGGGTCCTTGGTCCCTGACTTCCATCATCCCACAGGACTGAAGACTATAGCCATGCACACTACTGCACCCAGCTTTTCACTTGGCTTCTGGGGACCAAACTCAGGCTGTCAAGCTTGCACAAGCACTTTAATCATCCAACCGCCCTCCACTTACAGCTCTTTGTGGCCAATTTATGTGGTTCTGGGGATGAGACTCCAGGCCTCACAAAGGCTAGCCCTCAAGCACTCTACCAACAGACCTATACCCTTCAGCCCCTAAACTCTATTATAGAGACTAAAACCAGAAATCTAAAACGACTTGATAGAAGCACACTTCAATTGATTTTTTTATTTTATTAGCATAATGGTCTACAAAAGAGTAAAATTATAATTTCTTTCTTTTCTTTTTTGAGAGAAGAGTTTCTCTGTATTGCCCTGGCTATCCTGGAACTCGGTTTGTAGACCAGGCTGGCCTTGAACTCACTGAGGTCTGCCTGCCTCTGTCTTCCAAGTGCTGGGATTAAAGGCATATGCCCACCATGCCCAGCTCCTATAATTTCTTGAGATAATCAACTTTCCTTTACTGTCCTTATTCTGGCGTAATAATGATCTTTCTATTATTATTATTATTATTATTTTTTTTTTTGGTTTTTCGAGACAGGGTTTCTCTGTGGCTTTGGAGGCTGTCCTGGAACTAGCTCTTGTAGACCAGGCTGGCCTCGAACTCACAGAGATCCGCCTGCCTCTGCCTCCCAAGTGCTGGGATTAAAGGTGTGCGCCACCAACGCCCGGCTCTTTCTATTATTTTAAATTATTTATTATTTACTTTTGCTTGCATGTATGTCTGTGTGAAGGTGCCAGGTCCCCTGGAACTGGAGTTACAAACAGATGCCATGAGGGTGCTGGGAATTGAACCCAGGTCCTCTGGAAGAGCAGCCAGTGCTCTTAACTCTGAGCCATCTCTACCCCCACTTTTTGAGGCAGGTTCTCATTATGTAGCCCAGCTGGCCTCAAATTTATGGCAATCCTCTTGTCTTAGCTTCCCAAGTACTGGGATTATAAGTATTGAGCTACCATACCCAGCTTGCTTTTCAAACAGGTTATATCTTGATCCAGACTTAGAAAGATCATCATTCATCTCAGCCCAGTGACGTGTGATAGAAGGGGGACATATCTGATGGTTTCCAACTTAATCTGCTTGGCCACTTGACCTCTGTATTTCTGATAAAGGGAAATGATTCAGGGACATGAAACAGGTAGCCTTGGAGAAACTGAGCAGAGGCAGGCTCTCCTTTAAGCTCTAGACTAATGTGTCTAAGGATGATTGATTCATCTTTCTTGTGTGTCCTTTCGCTATAGCTCCAAATAACTACAAAAAAAAATACTCTAGACATGTTTTATTACCATGAATCTCCTAGCCAGCTTTTCCTTTTGTATGTTGGGGGAAGATGCAGCACCTAATAACCAAATACCATTCCCATCAGGTACACAGATGGCAGAACCATACCAGGAAACCTTAACATTATCTTGAGTGTGTTCACGTTCATGGTATGATGCTAGAAAATCTCACTTGACAGAGCTGCGTTTAAAAGGTTGGGTCCTGGGCCAGTGAGAAGGTTCAGTAAGTAAAAAGGCATTTTGTAACAAGTCTGGTGACCTAATCCAGAGTATCCACGGTTGAAGCAGAAAATCCACTCCCCAAAGTTGTCCTCTGACTGTTACACAAACACTGTGGCATACACGCATGTGCCCATGTGTACACAAGCACATCAAACCACAACAACAACAAAGCTGGGTTTTGCCAGTTAAATCCAACAGCACTAGTGGTCGTCTGCAAGGCCACCAGGATGGCCTGCTCACAAGACTACTTTTCTCAGAATGTCATTCAGATGAGTTCTGGTAAGGCAGATCTTACAACTACCTGCTTGTAATGTGAAAAATGGGGAATTAATTTATTTTGAGGCCCCGCCCCTTTGAAAGGTGACCATGGAAAAAGGCTAGTGTGTGTCCCGGGTGTTTATCCTCAGACCCAAGTCAGACCAAGTCAAGGGACAATTCAGCTGACACGTCAGCAAGCCTCACAGTCCCAGGTTCAGCTTTATTTCCTAATACAAGTCCAATCTCTGGAACATTGAAAGGAACTGTTCCAAAGCTTAATTAAAACACAATTTACAAATAGTTAATATCTTCTGAAAAGCACCTCCGGGTTCAGAATGAAAAAATATGTACATAATGTAATCAATACCAGGCTAGCTTCAGCTTCCGCCAGGCCCACACTGGGCAGCACAGGCCTCCTTAGGTTCTTCACACTCTGAAGAAGAAGACAGCACTCAGCATTTTGTCCCACTGGGTTATAAACAGAAGCTAGTATTCAGTAGTTACTGCTTGCCAGTCCTCTATGCCACATTCACAGCTAAGGAGAAGCCTGGTTGAAGTCACTGCTGCATCAAATCTATTAATTCTTTAAACACAATGGAAAGAAAACTAAAGGATACCACAATAAAACCCATTACTTTGTATGCTAATCTCAAAAATTACATGAAATAGTATCAAATCAGATGAGGGTTCTTAAGTCATCTTAAGGGAAAAGGGCTGACTTTCCTTTTATTCATAACCATCTCCCACCCACAGACATAGGGCACCTACCTTCTGTCAAATCTACAAAGCTGTTTCCCATGATGGGGGAAGGAACAGAAATCCCCATTGCTTTACGGACTCCATGTATGCTCACGACATCACCCGGAGTCACTTGCTGTGTGAGTTCTTTAAGGTTATTGGTCACTTGTTCAGCTAGGAAAGATGAGGGGAAAAAAGATCAAGGTACCAAAGTGGTTCCTTTAGACAGCCTCTCCCACTCCAGGGTTTCTCCAGGTAGCCCTGGCTATCCTGGAACTTGCTGTGTAAACCAAACTGGCCTCAAACTCACAGAGATCCTCCTACCTCTGCCTCCTGAGTGCTGGTATTTAAAGGCATGTGCCATCACCACCTGGCCCTTTAGACATTTTTAAGAGTCTTGCTATGTAGCCCTTGCTGGCCCTGGGTTCACAGAAATTCTCCTGCCTCAGCCCTCAAAGGGGTAGATGTGTGCATGCTAAAAGTCAATGTGAGTTCTCTTCTTCAGTTACGTCTGTCTTACTGTTTGAGGCAGGGTCTCGCAACGAACCTAGAGTACACTGACTTGGCTCGCCTGGCCAGTGAGCTCCAGGGGTCTGCCTATTTCCACCCTCTCATTAAGGTTGGAGATGCATGCCACTGTGCACTTTCACGTGCTGGGAATCTGAATCCAGACCCTCATGTTTTCGTGGCAAACACTTTGCCAACTGAACCATCTACCTAACCTGGTAATTCAAAGAAAAGCCCTAAAGAATTGTAAATGTATAAATGCAGAAATACTACATTCAGGTAGTTACTTTCCAGTACTGCCACTTGCTGGAGGTCTTCCTTTCATGCACCCAGCCCTGCTCTACTTCCCATCAATGGGACAAACATACCAAGGTACATTTCTCTGTAAGAAGGACCCAAGAGACAGATCATATTGGGAGGAGGCCTGGTGCTCAGCCGCTCATTCTGTGCCTCCTGGAGTTCCCTGAGTAATCTTGTAGTCTCATCAAGCTTCCTCTGGAACACTTCAGCTTCTGTGTGATAAGAAGACAACACTGAAGAAAACAAAGGCAGCCTGTGTTTGATCTGCTATGGTGAGCTTTTATTCCAATTGAGACCAACAGTATAGCTAGGCTCTAAACCCAGATGGCCAAGATTTTCCTGTAGTAAGTACTAGTCTCTAAACATAGTTGGCCAAGATTTTCCTGTAGTAAGCATTAGGTTAATTAGTGTTGACATGGCAACAAGTCTAACTACCTGTGCCTGACAGTTTCCAGCAACCTGGGATCCCAGACACCCACCTTCAGAGTCAAAGACTTCAGCTGGAGCACCGAAGTTTGTCACTGCTTGCAGTGCTGTGAGCCTGTCCTGACTGCTAGACTCCAAACGCCCAGTTGGCTCTATTTGTGTAATCTGCTTCAACAGGAAAAAAAAAGTTAATATTTGAGTTTGCTAAATCATGACAGTGCCAAGGAAAAATCAGTATGATGGCTTGTGCTTACAAGAAAAGTTATTCCACCTAGTCACCTTACAGTCAGAATTTTCATTATGTCTTCCAAGAACTCTTTTAAAAATGTTATTCTCAAATCCTGGCCAAAAAAGCGACCATAAATCCACACTTCTCTGTAATGACATGACAGCTTATGCAATCTACATCATTTGATTCATGTCAACATTCCGACAAAAAGTTATTACAAGAGCCTGTCACTGTCTAAACTGCTAAGTGCTTTTGGTGACTATGGCAATGACTGTTTCAAAGGTCAATGTTCCAGCCCAGCCATCCCACACTTGTCACTTGCATTTCTATAGATCTATATACAAGCCCCAAACCTAGGTCATTAGTATTGCACAAGAGAACAAAGTCTTAAGAGTAGATTTGTAGTTTTGGAATCATAAGACTCAGAATTTCCATAACTTCACCACAACTTTTAAAGAATACATCAATTCAATTAACAAGAACCAAAAATTCATGGTTCCATCTTTACTTGGGTGCTGACTGTGCTCCAAGTGCAGTCAATCTGACTACCTGGCTGTCCACATATGGGGTGAGGAGTATGCAG